AATATTAAAAAAGGACACATAACTTCCAGAAGAAAGAGGAAGTGCAATTAATCTCTGTGAAGAGTTCAAAGCACTTCCCCTCCCAATGCAGCTGGATGATGGATCAGTGCATCTTTCTCTCGTGGAGAGCTGCTGCAGACTGTGGTGGTCAAGATGCTGGACGCTTATGTCTGACTGACACACAGGTTCCACTACATGTGACCTTGGGTAAGTTACCTGCCTGCTTTGGCCTGAGTTTCCCTACCTGTAAAATGAGAGTAATATCAAGAACACCCCGTTGAAGACAGGAATTCTTTCTCTCTCTTGCTTTGAACCATATGAAGACACACCAAGAAGGTTCAGGGTGGCAGGAATGTTTGGGGCTGGGGTTGGGATATGGCTTTGGACATCCACATCCATCTTTCATTGGAATGTCTGCATTGTTTTGAGACCCAGAACCAATTCCATTCCAATTCCAGCTTCCTGGTATTGCACATCCTGAGAAGAAGCAGATGATAGCTTATATACTTCTGTTCCTGCATTCTGGATTTCTGGCTTTGGTTTGACCCAGCCCCTGGCTGAGTGTGAATGAAATGGTGGACAGGAACATTCATTTTCTCTCTCTCTCTTGTTTTCGCTCTCTGCCTTCAAAATAAAATGGAGATTACTGTTTTAAAGATTTTTTTTAATTGGAAAGGTAGATTTAAAGGGAGAAAAACAGCGAGAATGATCTTCCATCATTGGTTCACTCCCCAAGTGAAGTTGACCAGAGCTAGGCTGATCCAAAGCCAGGAACCAGGAGTCTCCTCTGGGTCTCCCACACGCAGGTGCAGGGTCCCAAGGCTTTGGGCCATCCTTGACTGCTTTCCCAGGCCACAAGCAGGGAGCTGGATGGGAAGTGGGGCAGCTGAGAGAAAAACAGTGTCCATGTGGGATCCTGGTGCTTGCAAGGCAAGGATTTAGCCAACTGAGCTATTGCACTGGGTCCATCATATATTCTTCTGTCTCCGAATGAAGCATTCAGAGACAGTTCTCATTGGACAGCCACCAGAATTTCTGCTTTAAGAAACAATATAGCACATCATTCCAACCAAATGTCCTGGCTCTGAGTCCATGAATATTGTATAGCCTTCTTATAATAGCTTACTGTGTTGAGTTTCTTTTATTTGTCTGAATGTCAGAGTTACAAAGAAAGGGAGAGAGGTTTTGCATCCACTAGTTCACACCCCAGATAGCTGCAATGACCAGTTGGGCCACAACAAAGCCAGAAGCTGGATCTCCATCTGGGTCGCCCACATGAGTAGCTGGGGCGCAAACACTTGGACCATACTCCACTGTTTTCCTAAAGTATATTAGCATGGAGTTGGAGGGGAAGTGGAATAGCCAGGACTTGAAATGCTGGCATCACAAATGGAGAGTTAATATGCTGTGACACAACACTGGCTCCTCTGTTGCATTTCTCACCTAGAGTGTGCTGAGATCCAAACTTCAGTGTTCTGCATGATACATATCTGTTGAGGTTGGTTAGCACAACGCATCCCTTAGTCTCTAAAGCATTGGGAGCGATGAAAACTAGCTTCAGAGACTCTATAGCTAAGGACTTCATGTGGTTGTTTGTCCTTGTGTGTCACCCCATCACACCTGCCAAGACCTCCAGGGAAGGCCTGCATGGATAGGCTTCTTTTTAGTGTTTATTTGGCTGGAAGACTCTTTCTTAGGACCAGCTGACCTCACTGGCTGCATAGAGATCAGATCCTCACTTTATTCCGCACTGGACTCTAAAAGGCTGACTAAATTCTACATCCTGTACGGGTCTCAGTCAAATGTTATAGCAGCCCCTCTACCATCTTTCTTTTCTTGGATAGAGGAGTGTGTGTTTATAAAAAATGGAAAGCCTTTGTGCAGTTCTTGGTTTCATTTGATCGTAGCCAAAAAGCCGAGAAGCGATTAGTTCTTGGTTTCAAATAAGCTCAAGTAGAATGGTGAACTGTAACATGTGCAAAGTCAACTGGAACTGGAGAAGTTTCCTGCACCACTGCAGATCCAGTTCCTTCGTCATCGCATCATCACACCATGCCTATAGCTTGGGTCCACTCATTTTGGTACCTCTGGCCACAATAGCTGGAGCTGAGCTGATCTGAATCCAGGAGCCAGGAGCTTCTTCCAGGTCTTCCACACAGGAGCAGGGTCCGAAAGGTTTGGGCTGTCCTTTGCTTTCCTAGGACACAAGCAGGGAACTAGATGGGAAGTGGAACACCTGCAACATGCACTGGTACCCATATGGGATCCCAGTGCTTAGTGGTAGAGGATTAATAAGTCAAGCCATTGCATTGGCCCCCTGCCATTCTCATTTCTCACCTCATTTCCTACCCTTGCTGCCTAACTTTTATGATTCCTCTTTTCCTGTTTTTCAATCAGCAATAATTGTGCCTCGAATAAGCCTCACTGGCGACAATACTGCCACAAAACAAAGCTACTTTTCTTTTATTAAATCTGTTCTTTAGAGAATTTTCCTTTTACGATCATTGCTTTATTGTAATATATTCATCCATTTAAAGCACATAAGGAAACAGGTTTTAGTATATTCATAGGATTGTAAATCCATCACCTCTATCTAATTTTAGAACAATTTCATTATCCCTTCCCTACCTCTCCAAAAACAAAGCAGTCAATCCCCATTCCCATGTTCTCTTAGCCTCGGACACCCACTGGTCTCCTTCCCTTCTCTAGTCTATTCTTGGCATTTCACATAAGTGAAGCACACTGGGTATCTCTTTTTGTGTCTTGCTTCTTTCCCTTAGAATCATGCTTTCACTGCCTGTCTATGGTAGCATGTACCAGCACTTCATTCCTTCTTATGGCCAAATGATTTTCCATTGCAGAGACATACCATGGTTGACATTTTCACCAGCAACGTATGAGAATTTAATTTCTCCATATCCTCAACACCACTGATTATTGTCTATCTACATGTGTTTTGTTGTTTTCATTTAATTGAGAGAGAGAGAGAGAGAGAGAGAGAGATTCCATCCAATGGTTCACTTCCCAAATGCCCACAATATTCACTGTTGGACCAGGTCAAAATGAGAAACCTCATCCCAGTCTTCCTCACGGGTGGCAAGATACAAGTTCTTGAGCCATCATCTACTGCCTCCCAGGATATGGATTAGCAGGAAGCTGGACTCCTAAGAGGCAGGAATTCGGAGTTATAACTGTGGCATATCAGGCTAGGCCTCTGCCTGTGGCACCAGCATCCTATATGGGTGCCTGTCACTGTCCTGCAGCGATGGACTTGGTGCACGGAGCCTATAATAACACGCGTGGACCCTGACTGATGGTCAAGAGCCGAAGTTTATTAGGGGCATCAGACTTTATACACTGAGAGTCCATATGGGATAAGGAAGGAAGTATTGAGCTCATCAACAAACCCATCAACTGCTTCTCTACTCTTGATTGGAATTCCTTTTATTCCACTAGGTGTTCTCATTCACATGCTGTTTATACAAAAGGTAGCCATTTGCTTGTTCTCATGCAAATACTGTCCAATGAACTGCAATCCTGTGCTCCCTGACTTTCCAGGGTCACAATGTCCTCCTACAGGTGCCTGTTTGAGTTCCAGTGGCTCTTCCAGTAGAGCTCCTTACCTGTGGCCTGAGAAGGCAGTGCAGGATGATCTAATTCCTTTGGCCTCTGAACCCAAATGAAAGTTCCTAGCTCCGAGCTTCAGACAAGTCCAGCTTTGATTACTGTGGTCATTGGGAAATGAACCAGCAGATGGAGGCTCTCTCTGTCTCTCCCTCTTTCTCTGTAACTCTGCCTTTAGAATAAAAATAAATAGGGCCCCGCAGCGTGGCCTAGCAGCTAAAGTCCTCGCCTTGAACACATCAGGATCCCATATGGGCGCCAGTTCTAATCCCAGCAGCTCCTCTTCCCATCCAGGCTCTCTGCTTGTGGCCTGGGAAAGCAGTAGAGGAAGGCCCAAGACCCTGCACCTGCGTGGGAGACCAGGAAGAAGTTCCTGGCTCTTGGCTTCGGATCGGGCAGCACCAGCCGTTGTGGTTCACTTGGGGAGTGAATCATCGAAGGGAAGATTTTCCCTTCTCTCCTCCTCTCTGTATATCTGACTTTGTAATTAAATAAATAAATCTTTAAAAAAAGAATAAAAACAAATAAATAACTCTTAAAAAAAAAAAAAAGAGCCAGAGCTCATACCTCGGTACTCCCCATCCACATTTCTCAGTTCCAACTTCATCTCCATAGTTATAGCTGGGTTTCCTTGATTGTTCTAAAGCAGGTTCTCCATCTCATCTCATTGATGTTCTTTATCACCTCATTTTATTTTCTTCTGAGCCTTAACTATATGCCTGTTTCTATTCCACAATTTTGTTTTGCATCTGCCCTAGAATATTGTACACATATAGGTCACAAGTGACATTGGTGGAAACTAGAATTGCAATTAGAAGGAACTTTAGAAATCTGCTGGATAACCATTCTAATTCTACTGATGCAACTAAGATCCGAAGAGGGTGAAAGATTTCTCTGGGGACAGGATTAGTACATAGCAGATTCTGAGGATGCCAATTTCCAGGACAGCTTCTTTTTCAGACTTTATACTGACTTGCCTTACTTCAATGTTATGTTAATTTATTTTTTACCCAAAACGACTAAAAGGAACGTCTTCTTGGTCTTGAGGTTTTTTTACTTTTTTATTTTTCAAGCCTGTCTTACTAAAATACGTGGACTTGGTCCTCCAATTGAAGGGCTCACATTCCCTCCTCAGGCAGTACTGGGGTCCCTGCTTGTCTCTTCTATCTGAACCCCCTTTTTGGTTCTTCTGCCTCGCCCTTCCTCTCCCTTTCTTACCCATAAGCCTCTGGTCGCCGCTCACCCCAGGAAGCTCCGCCCCCTTCAGGGTTGAGTTGCCTTAATCCAAGATGGTGCCAGGTGCTTCGGCTCCAGCGGAAGTGAGGTCACACCAGTCCGGAAGGGAAGGCGGGGAGAGAGCTGGCGGGTGGGTCACCCGCTGTGGGGCTGTGGGTGGGGCGGTGGCCGGGAGTCTGGCGATCGTAATTGGGGCTGGAACGAGGGCCACGACGAGGTCCATTCTTGGGAACCCTATCGAGGGGTCGGGGCCCGGGCCAGGGGCGTTGGAGGAAGCCGCCGCGAGCAACACGCCTCTGGCCCCAGAAGAGACCGCTCTAGAAGCCGGCTTCCCGCCCCCGGCGGCCTCCGTGCTCGACCCTCCTGCCGGCTCAGCCGCGGGGGCTGCGGCGCCGGGCGCCCAGTGGGCTGACCGGGCCACGCTGAGGACCGGCCGCACGAGAAGCGGCCGCGCGGCGGGTCCGTCCCTCAGCCCGGAGGTCAGGCCACGGCTGCCCTGTCGGTGGTCCACCGCCCTGAGCCCAGCCCCCTTGGCTGGCCAGCCAGCGACCTCCCTGCACGCCTGCCTCTCTGAAGATGCTTCCAAGCCCTGTCGCTGGGTGATTTTTTCTTTCTTCTTTTCCTTTTTTTTTTTTTTTTTTGGCCTGCAGATTTAAAGGATAGCTGTCTTCCCTCTGGAAAGTTCAACTTGAGTGGGAATGCGTAATCTTTCTTGGACCTTCCGACGTTCCCGGCTTCCAAGCGCCGACTGATCTAGTAACTGGGATCCCATTCAGATCACACGCGCACACACACACAAAAGAGCAGAGTTGTTCTCTTGCACTCAACAAGGGCAGATGGACTTCGGAATTAAGATGCAGGGCGGTGAGCCCGTGTCGACCCTGAAAGTCTCGGAGAGCGAAGGCAAGCTGGAGGGCCTGACCACCGCCGTGATCCCGAACAAGAACAGCAGCAACAGCAGCTGTGGGGGCGGCGGCCTCAGCAGCAGCAGCAGTAGCAGCAGTGGCCGTGGTGGTGGCAGCGCAAAAGGCTGGCAATACAGGTAAGGGGGGGGGTGGGGAACCCTGCTCCCCCAGGGGCTGCAGGAGCACCTGCCTGCCAACTTCCCATTAGTTCTCGTCCTTGGGAGCTGTGGACTCCCTTTGCAGGAGCGAGAGTGGATTCCTTGTCGTTGGTCTCTTCAACAGGTATTTCTGGAGGGCGTTTGAGGGGCGGGAGGGCAATACAGAAAATGACATGCCACAGCCCTCAACTTCCCCACTCCACAGCCGGAGTGAATGCGGCTCTCGGATTTCATTCTCAACTCCTGTTGGTGCTCGTGGGTCCTTGTTTACCAGCCTGCCTTCTCTCACAGGATCCCACCCCTCCACCCCCCCCAGAACGGGAACTGTACACAGAGCCCACCCACTTTGAGGGTCTCACACCCTGTTTGTCAGTTGGTGGAGTGGTCAAATCACGATTCTCAGAAGGGGAGGTGAATGGACATGAATGGACTACAGAGGGCAAGGTGGGCAGATCCTGGGGATGTCCCCCGTTTGAGTGGGCCAGGCTGAGTGGAAGGCACATTTTGTGTTAACTTTTTTTTAATGAAAAAGAATGAAAAAAGTAAGGCACAGCATGACAAGTCCTGGAGGAGCAAGGCAAGTGTATGTGTCTGTATGGGGAGGGAAATAACATCTGGAGTTTTAAGAATGAATGAAATCAGGGCATTCCGTGGTATTGGAACCGAAAGGATGAATGCTGAGGTAACTGTGTGAAATTTGGGCAGAGTTGAAGCCCAGGTTGTGGAGGAAGCTGATCATTTGTCCCGAGTAGTGCTTGTCTGTGTGGAAATCGCATTAACTGTGTTACCACAGAGAAGAGAAACAGTGTGGAAGGTTAAAACTAGGAGAGGAGGGTGCATCACGGTGACCGAAGGTCCTAGGCTCACTCTGAGAATCAGTGCAATCCTTTCGCTTATGTGTGTGGTTGAAGACCAACCCTTTCAGATTATCAGCTGCTTGGCAGCTGATATTTGGATGCATAACTTAAGGAAGCAAGGGAAAGTAGAATTCCACAAGATAGGGGGTCTGATCCCCTTAACACTTTGCAAGCCCGTCTCAGTTAAATTGGAAAGCTGTCGTTTAATTTGGAACCATGGTGACTCTTGTTTATGGTATTACTTAATAGTTACATAATTTTTAAACCCGAATCTGCTGGAAGCACAAATGAAAAAGGCTATTAGGAGAAGAATGACAGAGGAAATGGCAACCGACAAAGTAGGACGTTAAATGAAGATTTGAAAAATTAGCATGCAGTCTTAGCTGCGTTGCTTCTCGGCGCAGTAACATGGTCACAGTGACCTTAAGTCCGACAGGAGAGCACATTCTGTCTAAGTAGGCATAATCAATGGGGAATAATTTCAAATAAAATAGCATTAAAACATGCGTAAGTGTCTGGAAAATTCACTTATGCAGGCTCTACCCCGAGGATGAAGATAAATAAGGCATTACAGCACTTGCACAGTGGCTTGTGTTTAGATTTTGATGTGGCTAATGTTACTATTCCAGGCTGATTCTTGCAGCCAGCTCTCAATTTCATCCACTTTCCTTGTCCTCTAGCACCCTGATTAAACACTCTTACTTGCTGCTTCCCTGAGGTCTGTTGACCTTAAAAACAAAGCAACAACCCTAGCAAAAACAACCAAATTCTTTCCTCCTCAGAGTGATTTACACTCACTGCCTGCTTTCCTTACCTCTAGTTTATCTCCCTACCATAGCGGTGGGCTCTGTTTTCACCAAGGAACAATGAATGTTTTTATTTTATTTAAAATTTTTTTAGAAGTCATCAAGCTTGCAAAGGTTAATGAAGGGAATATACTTGACAAGTCAGGTGACACCAGGAAAGAACCGAGAGCCTGGTGTGTCTTCGGACTAGAGTATTTAATGCATATGGGTCCACTGTGTCTCCTTCCCTGCCCCTCTTCTTATGGGATTCTGTGTTGGAGGGGACAGTGGACAGTGCTTTCTGGGCATGAAGTTTCATGAAATTTCTCCTGAGGTTTTATCAGCACAGTGTTCCTGAACTAAATAGTCCTGCCCTGGCACAAGGCTGAGGGAGGGCTGGGACCCACCTTCAAGGTTATTGGATATGGGCAAGACTTCTGATTGTAAAAGCTGGGCTGCTGCCAGGGCTTATTCTCTTGTATTCAAGTTTCTTCCCTCAGTCAACCACCAGAACTTACTATGTTTGCTCTTTGGCCCCTCTCACAAATAAGCTGATTTCTTTTTTTTTCCTAAAGATTTATTTTTATTATTTTTTTTATTGGAAAGGCAGATATACAGAGAAGAGAGACAGAGAGGAAGATCTTCCGTCCAATGATTCACTCCCCAAGTGAGCGCAACGGACCGATATTATGCCGATCCGAAGCCAGGAGCCTCTTCTGGGTCTCCCACGCGGGTGCAGGGTCCCAAGGCTTTGGGCCGTCCTCTGCTGCTTTCCCGGGCCACAGGCAGGGAGCTGGATGGGAAGTGGGGCTGCCAGGATAGAACCGGCGCCCATATGGGATCCTGGGCGTGCCGGGCCCAAATAAGCTGATTTCTACAAATCCTTTCTCACAGTCATCCCTCAAGAGAAGTAATTGGAACTAGTGTAAAGTGTGTCTTCTGCACCTTCTTCAGGCTAGCATTTGGGTGTAGAGTTGGTTCTTGCTGTGTGTCCTGTGGTCTTCACGTAGTCTGGGAGGAATGACCTGCAGGAGCAAGAGGGTTGGCCATATATTCCAGTGGGATAGCTGAAATATGCTGTTAGGCCAAAAATTCCAGCCCTATTTGGCTTGGTCTTAGAGTTGTCTGGTTTTGTTCAGTTTGATCCAAAATCAATACTTTTTTTTTCTTGTTTAAGGATTTACTTGTTTAGTTGAAAGGCAGAGTTATAGACAATGAGGGACAGAAAGAGGTATGGGAGGGAGAGACAGAAAAAGAACCATTCAATGCAATGGGCAGCTTCCCAAATGGTCACAAAGGCTGAGCTGGGGCCAGGCCAAAGGCAGGAGTTGGGAGCTGCTGCTTTTTTTTTTTAATTATTTAAAAAAAATTATTCTTATTTTTTATTTTTACATGGTTGATCAGGGTAGGACAGATCAAGAATCAGGGAAAAGTAGATGTGGTCATTGTTTCTTCTTCCTGTGTCTGGGGAAAAAGGGAAAACAGGAGAAGCCATACTGACATTGGGGACTGGCCACCCAACATTAACCCAAGGTCCCCGATGTGGCACATGCTCCAAGGAGTTTCCCACATGGTTTTGATAACTCTGAAATGCTGTCGATCCCACTGATCCAAGAATGAGGAAACTGTTCCAATGTCCATTAGCTGACATAGTCAACTTTAGAGTCTCCATTTGCCCAGTTGTTTGCTATCATTGTTTGACTGGGGTAGTTGTCCAGTTTGTTCTGTCCTCCTTCTTCTGCTGTGGTACCAGATGTTCTCTGCTGACCCCAGTGGACTGAGGAATAGAAGCTTCTGTGTGTGTGGTGGGTCCCAAACACTTGGGCCATCTTTTTGTTTCTTTTTCCGGGTTGAGTATGAGGGAGCTGGACTGGAAGCAGAGCAACTGGTACACAAATCAGTTCCCATGTAGGATGTTAGCATCACAGGCAGCAGCCTACCTTGCCTTGCCACAATGTGGGCCCCCAAAGCCAACATTCTTCATATAGGATGGCTCAGATGCCTCTTGGGGCAGCAGTTAGCACATCTAAGTCCTGCCTGTTTTTGAAGAGCTGGGCTTGGTAACTCTAGCACAGGGGCCCCAGTCCTGGCATCTGTTAACTAGGTGAAGGTGGTGGTTTATTCTCTTTCCCTAGGGAGGGGGTCCTTGTTTTGTCTTGCTCTTGAGAGCCTGCTCTGGGGCTTTCATGTAGGCATCCATAATCTGCAATATCCTGTTAGTCCCAGAAATGCTAGAGATGTCTTAAGGTGATAGGACTGAGAATTTACTGCATAGTTTGTACCCACTCTAGGGCCAGTTCCTGCTCCCAGAGGGCAGGATAAGTCCAAGAGTTTACCTCCTGGCTCATGTGTCAGTCTTTTTCCTTGGGTACCTAATGGCCACATTCTGTTAGGAATTTAAGGGTGCTAGTCAGACACCCAAAACTGGAGTCTCAGGTAAGGACAGATTGAATGCTTTTTATATCATCTTCCCTCAGTGGTGGTCCTTCAGGTCTTTTACAAGGGCCCATTCAGATATACACGGGCCCACCTATGTGTAAATCCTTGTGTCCTAATTCAGTGTAACTTTATGCCCTGTATGCTAACCCATTTAAAGGCAAATTGTGCCAGGAGGTGCCCTTTTTTAAAGATTTATTTATTTTTATTGGAAAGGGATTTGCAGAGAGATGGAGAGACAGAGAGAAATATCTTCTATCCATTAGCTCACACCCCAAATGGAGACAATGGCCAGAGCTGAGCTGATCTGAAGCCAGAAGCCAGGTCGCCCACACGGGTACAGAGGAGTCCCAAGACTTTGAACCATCCTCTACTGCTTTCCCAGGCTATGAGCAGGGAGCTGGGTGGGTCTCCCTGCTCCAGCTGAGACATGAACTGGCACCCATATGGGTTGTTGGTGCTTACGGGTAAGGGAATTGAGTCACTCTGCCAGCAGCAGAAGGGGCTTTTAAGGCTTAATAATAGCCAAGTGGGGTTTGAAAATTTGACTAGATGTGTCAGAGGCTCTGTCTCGTGGGGTTCTGCAGGGCCTGGGATGAGAAATGGCAGTAGTGGAAATCTGGCTGCCTTCGGGGGTAGAGAAGATTAGCTTGGTTCCTAACTGGTTTAGAACATCCCTTCCAGCAGCAGAGAGGGGTGCATGAATTGCCATAGGGAAGGCACCCTATTGACTCCCATTTTCTGGTCATTGAGAAGGGAGTTGGCCCAAAAAGAAGATTAGGACAGAATAGGCAGTTCCTGTAACCTAAAAGAAAATTTGCAGTGCTACCTGCCACTTCAGCAGCAACCTTTGGCCCCATCCCCTCAATAGTGATGGTTGGCCCAGCGTGGTAGCCTAGCA